CTTCCTTCTCCTTCTGGGCGTATTTCCATCCCGCGTCGTTCCAGGGAACATGTGGTATCGTGTAAATCCTTGTTGGCTTAGCGTATCGAGGGTCAATCCTACCGCGCTCCGCGTCGCTGAAAGCTATGGCCTTAACACATGTCTTCAGGATTTCTATCACACGTTCTCGCTCCTGTGGGGTCAAATTTCCATCTCCGATGTCCATCCCTGCTATCCTCTCTTCCGTTAGGCGTTGCAGCTCGTTTCTCTTTCTTTCTTTGATTTCTTTTGCGATCTCTTCTTCCGATATCCCTTCTAGTGCAGATCGTTCGCGGCCCACTGCCGCTGGCTTAACTTTTTGCGCTATTCGTTTGTGTCACTTGGGTAGCCCCCCATAGGGGGCCGTGCCCTTAAAAAAGACACGGATACCACACCACCAAATTCCTCATCTTTTTCCTTTGGGTACGAGTTACCGTCCACTATCAGCCGACTCCCCAAGTCTTCGACCTCCACCATCCGTCCTTCTTCCTCTGTGAGCAGTGGTCCATATTTATTCTCGCGAAATCGCACCGCGCGGCTTGAGATAGGCAACGACTTAATCTGCTCCCCGGGTCTTGCACCCACTGCTAGAGCTGCTCTGTTCCTCGGGCCCCGAGGCTCCACTGTCTCAATCATCACCCGCGTCCCGTCTGGCTTCTTAATGGACAATGTTTGGCTCCCATCAGGTCGCTCTATCGTCACCGCATGCACATGGCTCAGCCTCGTTCGACCCAAGAGCAGGTCGGAGCTGCAGTTCTTGACTGCAAAGACAGGTAGGGTCACTCGTACTCCTTGGACCTCTATGGCTGCCTTGTGACAAACCCCAGTGATCTGTTGCTTTCTACCATCAGCGATCTCTATCTCGAATAGGTATGACCTATCGAGACCCAGTCCAACTTGTACTGCCAGGTCCTCGTCTATGATGACAGCCTCACTGCCGTTATCAATCACAGCATCGAGTACCGCTCCATCGTTTATAATCGTCTCCACGGCTCCGCTACCAAGTATATAAAACTTGTCTGGAGGCACACCTTCCATTCCATCAAGAAGGACTGTCGTCATGCGATCCGCTCTGGCGGTCACTCCCGTTACTCCTACAATAGAAGCTTCCGCCTTAGGGGCCCCCTGACCCTCCTCCGATAGAGGTATGCGGGTCTTCCTCGTGATCATCTGTAACTCATCACGAGCTGGCTTCGATGCCGCCAGGTACTCCAGAATAGAGCACTGCATGGGTTGCCGAAGGGCCCGCCTCAGTGGCTCGACCGTGTCAATCTCGTCCAGCGAACTCTTCATTAAGAACTTCTTGACTCCCCGCTTCCGCGGCGAAAG